GGTATGAGCTTCTTACTGCGGAGAAACTGCGAAGCATTATTTCAGCATACGCTAGGGGGACTGTTAAGGACATTGACAGTCATGTTGTCAACCTTACACAGACCCACAACATGCCCACTTTCCACACCCAGAACTGGACCACAGAACAAACACCAATGGTGGGGTCCGGAACTATAAAGACTACGTCGTAAAGTGAGAAAGTTGTTCAATAAAGCAAAAAACTCTCGACTAGACCAACATTGGGATGCCTACACGCAGGTCCGACAACAATATAAGAAGAGAATCAGAACCAGGAAAACTGAGTGCTGGAGAAACTTCTGTACTAACATAGAGAACAACAACCAGGCTAACAGAGTCAAAAGCATACTGTGTAGTAGAGGAGAACACAATCGTGGCTCACTGAAGAAGCCTGATGGTGAGTATACCAAAACAGACTCGGAAGCCTCAGAGCTGTTATTGTAAACACACTTTCCTGGATGTCGCATATCAGATGTGATGGAAAAATTTGAAGACAGATGGGAAAACCCACCAGACGATACAGATTGGGATACGGCCCGCAAAGTTGTCAACCATGACAAACTAAGATGGGCAATCAACAGCTTCCTGCCATTCAAGGCGCCAGGATTAGATGGTGTCTTCCCAGGCCTGCTGAGATGGTGTGATATGACACTATTAGACCATCTTGTAAAAATTTATAGGGGCTGCCTGGCGCATCAGTACATCCCCTTGAAATGGAGAGAAGTTAAAGTAGTCTTCATCCCCAAACCTGGTAAAGGTGACTACACACAACCCAAATCACACCGACCTATCAGTCTCACGTCTTTCCCATTAAAGGTTCTCGAGAGGCTAATAGATAGGGAAACCAGGGAAACTGCGTTAGTCAGTCACCTTCTACACCACAATCAACACGCATACTCGATGGGTAAATCAACAGAATCTGCCCTACATCGAGTTGTTTCACATATAGAAGACAATCTAAATCACAAAAGGTCAACACTGGCCACCTTTATCGATATCGAGGGAGCCTTTGCCAAGATCAATTTCACCAGCATTAGTCAAGCTCTGTCTAGACATGGTGTTGATTCCAGAATCTCAGGGTGGATCGACAGCATGCTAAGATATAGAGCTATTCAATTCACTGTGAGCGAAGTGACTAGAGGAGTGGTGGCTAGAGGTTGCCCCCAGGGCGGTGTACTCTGCCCCCTTCTATGGAACACTGTTGTGGATGAGCTCATCGCACAACTTAATGACCAAAGATTCCTCACAATAGGCTATGCAGACGATCTTACTATTCTCATCAGCGGTCCTTTCGAGAGCGTTACATGCGATCAAATGAGACTTGCACTGAAGATCGTGGAACAATGGTGCGTAGCACACAACCTGACAGTGAACCCATCGAAAACAGAGATGTGAACATGATGTTCACAAACAAACGCAGCCTAGGAAATCTCAGACTTCCCAAGCTATTTAGAACACAACTTACTCTTACCAAAGAGGTCAAATACCTAGGAGTAATACTGGACAGTAAACTCCTGTGGAATAAGCACCTCGATGAAAAACTGAATAAAGCCTGCATTATTTTCTGCCAATGTAAACGGCTACTCGGCAAAAGCTGGGGACTATCACCCAAGATTACTTTATGGCTATATAGAACAGTCATAAGACCAATAATTACTTACGGTGCTGTTGTCTTGTGGCAGAGAACAGAGCTAAGCACCGTCATAAATAAACTGCAGCAATTCCAGCGATTCCCATGCTCCGCGGTCACTGGCGGTATGCGCACAACGCCTACTACCGCACTGGAGGTGGCTCTTGGTCTACCCTCCCTGGATTTATTCATATAGCAGGAGGCCGCCATGGCGATCATTAGACTCAGACACCTGGGTCTATGGCACAAAAGTGAGGGATCGCACTCCAAATTATGGGATCAATTGGTGGAATACGAACCACTGATAGCAGCTCCATGCGATAGAATCCCAAAACACCATATCTTCACAAGAAGATACTACATCCAGATACATGGAAATGACCGAGATCAATCTGACACTAACGAAGTCCGTATTTACTCGGACGGTTCCAAGACTAGGTCAGGAACTGGAGCCGGAGTTTTCTCGCAAGACCTAAATATGAACATATCACTAGCGTTAGGCCAACACAGTTCCATATTTCAATGTGAATGTGTGGCAATAACTTACGCTGCCACAACGGCCATGTCAAGCGGTATCAAGGACTAAAACATCCTTCAATGTGCGTATCACCTGTATGCGGATGACTTGCAAATTTACGCCCAATCGAGAGTTGAAGACATATCACACGCCAATGATAAAGACAACAAAGATTTGGACTTCATAAGGAGCTGGTCGATGAGGTTTGGTTTGTCGGTTAACCCAAGCAAATGTCAAGTGATCGTCATAGGTAGCAAACAGATGTTAAATAGGTTGGACATGACGGCCATACCACCAGTTGTTTTTAACGACATAATCATACCTCTGAGCCCAGTGGTTAAGAACCTAGGGCTACATATTGATTCGACACTTGACTGGAGAGCACAAGTCACCCACGTTAGCCAGCAAATCACTACATGTCTTCGCGCCTTATATCGTCTCAAGAATTTTCTGCCCACTAAAACCAAGGCTACGCTTATGCAGTCCCTTATTACTCCCTTAATCGATTATGGTGATGTGTGTTATCTTGACCTGAATGCAGACCTCCTCAATAAACTAGACCGACTTCTTAATAACTGCATTCGATTTGTTTTTAATCTTCGCAAGTATGACCATGTGTCTGATTTACGTTCCCAACTGAAATGGCTCCCGATTCGTCAACGCCGCAGTCTGTGCGCACTAACATATCTTTTTTCTTTTCTTAATTCCCCATCGGTACCTGAGTACCTGGTTCCCCATCTCCGCCTCCTTTGCTCCAATCACGACCGAAATCTTCGATCAACAAATAATATGCTTCTTCTTTGCCCCCCTCACACTTCCAACTTCATCAATTCTTCCTTCTATGTACAGTCAGTTCTTCTCTGGAATGCGCTCCCAGTTGAAATTAGGATGTCCACTAACCGGTTTACGTTCAAGAAGAAAGTACAAGAACTTCTACAAAATAAGTTGGCAGAAAGGTCACAGTACCCGACTATGTGTTTTGATATTTATGTATTTATAAATGTGTATATTCATCTATTGTATGTGTATACTTGAGACCTCTATGTATATATGTAGTTATGAATATAGTATTTTATTTATAGTATTTATAGTAGTAGTGTATATATGTAAGTTAGATTTAGCCTACATTAATAAGTTTAATATAAACAAGTCAAATTCTCTGTTTTCTCTTGCACCTACAGCTTCATTTTTCAACATCACCCGAAGGTCGACTGGCAGAGAATGCCTTGGGCATTAAGTCCGCCTTTGTACAACTAGTGCATTAAGTTAAATAAATAAAACATCCGAATAATATCCGACAGCATGGCCGTCTTAAAGGCACTAGAGGGCAACACAATGACCTCTGGTATTGTCTTCGAATGCCATCAAGCTCTGGAACAGCTCGCTACATTCAATGGGGTACTCCTCCAATGGATTAAAGGGCACAGTAACTCACACGGGAACGATGCCGCAGATGAGTTGGCTAGGAGGGGCCCGTCAACCCCGACCTCCGGCCCAACCACATTCCTGCCCATATCGTTTAACCAAATACGATGCTGGGTCAGGCAACGGATCTGTGAAGCACACAACCGGAGGTGGACAAACTCACCCGGTTGCAGACAGTCCAAACTGGTGCTGAATCAAGTCGCACCACGACTGAACGAGTGAATCACACCACGACTCACCTGTAGATTAATCAGTCTTAGCAGATTGGAAATCAGAATGGTTGTCGGAACTATTACAGGACATCTAGCCCTGAACCGACAACTATTCATCATCAACGCGACGGACAGTCCCCTGTGCAGGGGATTTACGTTCAAGAAGACTAACTAGCGCATAGTAGACCATCTTCATGGTGTTAAGATCTGTAGCATTTCTCAGCTTTTTAAAAATATACAACAACTTTCTAACCCTTGTAACAATTTGTTCAATCTGAAAATTCCAAGTAAGATTATTGTCGACTATTACCCCAAGATATTTAATGCAGTTACAACGAACTATAGATGGACAACTGCAGTTGTAGGTGTTAAGGGAGCTACATATGTGTGCCTTGATTTCGAATGAGGGTGGCGGTTGGGAAGATGCATTTGGGGAAAAAGTCATGAACCTGGTTTTTTCTAGGTTAAGGGTGAGTAAGTTTATTTCGAGCCATTGCATTACAAAGTTCAAAGCGATTTCAGCATTACCACGTGCAGAGTTCCAGGTAGGTCCATCCACTAGCAGGACAGTATCGTCGGCAAAGGAAGGTCGTGCCTTGAGGTTCTAATAACAGATGATGGGATTCTATCCCACCCTAGTGCTGTGTTATCTTTCAGTGTTAATATAGTCTGTTCAAGTTCAGACTCATCAACCTCCGTTAGGAACATTGAGTGTAGAACAGGTGGGCGATAAATTAGTGCATTTAGCTCATTAGGAGTTTTTTGACGGCTAGATCGAGTCATGAGGTTATTCGCCAGTTTAGCACCTATCCCTGCGAAATGTTCGTTTACCTTACTAACGGCTGTAGACGGATCCCTATGGTGTTTAAGTAGTGATATAGGTGCAGATTTGTCGCTAGTGGTATTAGTAATTTTTTTGAGTACGTTCCAGGTAGTCTTGGTATTACCCCCGGCCTTTTGTAGTTCTATTTTGTGGTAGTTCTGTTTAACCGTCTTAAGGAGATTATTACAGAAGTTGCGATAGCGGATATAGGTCAACTTTAAAGTTTGATTCAAGGGCTCCTTTTTTGTATTTTTTTGTAACTTATCCCTGTGGCGAATGCAACGCAATAGACCGGGTGTAATCCAGGGTTTAATTAACCGCCGATTGTGTGATAACGCAATAGTTGTGGTATGAGAACTAATGACATTAGTCAGAATGGCAACCAACGCCTCCGATGCCACCTCAGCATTTCCTGCAGATAAAACCGGAGAAAAATCGATTTCCTCCAGCTGTTGGCTAATGGCTACAGGGTCAGTACGCTTAGTGGTTTGGCAACGTTTGGTTTCAGCGAGGGTTGAACGGTCGCAAGAGAAAAATATAGGAGCATGATCGGTTATATGAGAGTCAAGAATATATGTGGTAGATTTGTGGTCGGTTCTAAGTATTACGTGATCTAAACAATTTTGGTTGCGTGTGGGTAGTAGATGGGCAGGTAGCATACCATTGGAAGAGGTCATATTTAAATATTGATCTGTTTCATTGTTCCTATTTTGTGGAGTTATGTTTATGTTCAAGTCCCCAATTAGCGCCAGGCATTTGTATGAATTTAATGATTTTAGTATTAGGTCCAATGAGTCTATGAAACTGTCAATATTCCTATAAGAGGGGGATCGATATATTGAAACAATTACAAAATCATTTTTATGTTTAAAAATGAGACAATTGGCATCAGCGATTTTAGGTTCAGAGACAATATGACTGATTTTATTATTGACATAAATTACCACACCGTCGTTTTGGTTTGTAAATTTTGAGGAGTAACAAATGAAGTCGGTAAGAGCTGGTAGGTTAGATATTTTACTTAGCCAGCACTCTGTTAAAATAATTATTTCGGGGAGATTGTCCAGTCTGTGCAAAAGTACTATAAGCTCATCAAAATTCGATGAAATACTTCTGATGTTGACGTGAAGCACTTTCCAGGACTCAGCAGGTTGCTTTGTCATACCAACACAGTGTTCAGGGGCGCATATTAGGGATTCTGAGACAGAAAGTCTGTCTAGGTCATACGTAATCAGAGTTGTATTATCCATAAGTATTTATTTGAATAGCAATAGCACTGGACAATGTGTAGACACACGACAGTATGACCCCAACACCGTCCGAGTGTTGAATACTTTGGTTGTGAGATAATGATATATTTATTTTATAGGTGGTTTCCTTATTACCTGAAGATGTTTCTGACATGTCATAGAGTTTGAGCTGAGTGTAAGTAAGTTGGGGTAGAACAATTGTATGGTGTAGTGTGTATTGATGGTATTGTATATTATTATAAGAGTAGTATATTAGTATATTGTACAAAAACATAGCAGTATTATAAGTAATAGTATTCAGACTTAAGGTCGCTTCCTTCAAACAACTGACAGACTTCACTGTGCTTGGAGGATACAATATCGAGCGAAGTTAGACAAATTTTAAGAAATACAATCCGCAGTACATAATATAAGGTTATTATTTTTTTATCTCCAGGTCTGCTAGTGACTGCTCCGATATAATTCGTATTTGTGTAGTTCCAGTTTCTTTTCGAAGATAGATACTGCCGTTTTTTGTCCAACAAAACATATAGCCATGCAGTCTGGAATACTCCCTTGCCTTATAAAATAATTTCCGTGAGCTAGCCGGCAAATGTTCCGCAATATATATAGGTCTGCGTTCACCAACTAAACCTATAGTATGGGTATTCAAAAGTTCTGTTTTCGACCGGTTTTTATTGGAAATGCGAGCAGTCGCCAAAAGAGAGGTTTTCGTCTGCACACTGTTAAATTCAGCAACAATCGGTCGCGCTGTTGCCGATTTACCCGGAAGACGATAAACATCGCGAATTTCCAATGTTGAAAGCGTTCATGTGTTCATGGTTTCTGCAACCTTAGTGACAATAGATGATAAGTCAGATGGCATTTCATTTTCTTTACTCGGAATATTCCGAAGTTCGATGCTAGACAAGCGCGACGTTTGCTGAAGATCCTGTATTCTAGTCTCAAGGTTACTAATACAATGTCTATAAGTTTCCTTTTCTCTTTGTAACTCGGCAATCTGTTGCTTCACATCTTCGAATTGGCTGTAAATAAAAACCATAGACCTCTCTATCTCAGCATTTGACTTAGTCAATGAGGTAGTTTGGTTCTTGAGCTCGGCAATGTCTATCATCAAACGATTCAAACTAGCTGATTGTTGGTCACAAAACTTGGTTAGACGGGAGTCCTGTTCCTCTTTCCATTCCTTTAACATATATCTGATATCCTCCCTAAAGGAAGAAAGTTCATCGGATGGAGAATGCTCTGAGCGAAAGCGTTTATGCCTCGCGATAGTGTTTATGTTGTCCCGATCGGTGACAACAGGGCGAGTTAAATCAGTCTCCGATCGAACTTGGACTAGGTTATTACTACGGCCCGCCTTAGGTGAGGATTTTGCCCGTGACATTTTAGTATTGCAGTAAGGAACAGGTAGACACCAGATTTGCAGTTATAGCAGAATATATTAGCTCAATAATAAGTAATTAACAGGTTGTCAAACATATTAGCTGTAGAAAATCGAGAAGCGCACAGTTGATTTTTAAGCCACAACAATATTAGTCACCCGCAGGCGGTCCTCCTCGCAGTCGCAAGAGCGAGAGGGAAATTATTAGGGTGTTTTCTTTCCAGCGGAGGTGAAGGCGCCAACACTGGGTGCTGGGGGGCGCGGGGCCGAGATAAGCCGTCGGCGCAGGATGAGGTCGCGTTGAAACGAGAGAGAATTTATGAGGGTGTTCTCGTTCTAGCGGGGGTGAGGCCGCTCGCGCGGACCACGCGTGTTGTCATAAAACCGTAGCAATAATATGCACTCCACTTACCCCAACAAAGTTGAAAATGGGCTGGTAGTAATTATTGTAACTGATTATTTTTTGAGAGCGAATTATAAACACGTTTACTCTCAACAGCTGCTCGGACGGAAGGGGACATAAGAGGTGATAATAAGATGGCTAGACAAAAATAATTTAATTATAAATTAAAGCAAGATAAAGATAATGCACTTTAGACAACGTACGCCCGATGTACCTAATCTTCATATACAGTACAAGGATAAATAAACAATTGTTTTGCTCTGTGGCAACCCCGCGGTAAACAGCTGTTCTGAATTGCTCCCGTTTATTTTTTTGTGTTAAATATTATATTCTGTTTAAAATATAATTTAAATACCAATTTCTCACTAAGCAAATAAATGCTACTTGCACAAATTATATAAGAATAGTTCATAAATGTTATTTTAGTAAATAAACGAATTTGTAAGTGACGGTTGGGTTACCGGCAAGTTACGAATAACATTAAAAAAGTGTTGAAAATTGTGCCTGGAATTTATTGTCATCGCTTTACAGGTATCGCTATTTGATTTATTTATTATTTTCTTTAATACGATTCCGGTAAACGTGTAGTTAATTCTTAAGACGCTTATATTGACACTACACAACTTACCCTCCACTGTGTGATATCAACTCTCCTTGGTGATAATTTAACAATAGTTTGCCTTTTCACAAAGCCATACACACTGGTTCAGACTCGTAATGCCTTGGCTCGTCAATTGGAGTCCAAGCTTCAACTGACTTTAAGCGAATTAAAGGCAACTAAGGAGAGATGTGATCAACTCATTGCGGAAAGAGATGATAATAAAAGGGAAGTCTTTGAGATATTAAACGAGAATGAGAAACTTAAAAAAGAAATGTCTCTGTTGCATGGTCGGTATACAGTTTCTGTTGATGCCCGGAACAAGCTCCAACTCTTTGTGGACAGTTTTGATACATGTAGGGATGAGTATGAGCAGGCACTGAAAAGGATTAGGAAGCTAGAATGCCAACTACAAAAAGGAGAGGAAAAAATATCAAAAATCGACACTCATAAGCACAACCGCCTTGTAGCTTCTAACCAGAGTTTGTTCTACGAGTTGGTTGCCCCGGGGTTGGATCGGGCTGTAGTTGACAGTCTCCATCCATCTATGGTAACAGATCTCACAGCTGACGATGATACTAGTAGTTGTACTTATAAACCTAACAAAATTGTAAAATGCAGCTTGAGAAAATTGAAAAAATATATTAAAGTTAAAAAAATAATTACCAAAACAAAAAAAATGATTCACAAACAATTTTTTTTTTAATAGTATGTCACTAAATAGGCAGAGACTTCATCAGATTGATCAGGTGTCTATGTACTCAATAGAACTAGCCAACATGTCCAATAGGGTGTCCCGAAATTTTTTTATTCTTATTTTAGCTACTTAAGACCTCTCAAAAGTTGCGCTGTTAGACGTAGATGAGCGTAAAAATAATTCAAAAAATATTTAAAAATATCTTTAGGGCTCTACCAGCATTTTCATTTACTGAAAATTCGCAAAAACAACCTTGTAGTCAAAGTCGTATATTCTATGTTTTATGAATCAATCCTGTTTTGTCTTGTAATTTTATCAATAAGAAAAGCCTCGGCTATGATTTGCAAGTATCGACAGGTTGTTTTAGCGATCAATCGGTTTGGATCGGACTTGCAAAATTCCTACAAAATTCATGTTTTGACTTGATTTTCGTACGTGCGCTACTTCTACAACAAGACAGTTCGTCTCATTTCTATTTCGATTTTACTCTTGTAAGGAGTTGTTCTATTCTTCTTTGAAAGAAAAACGTAATTTGCGTTACTTAATCATAAAAATGTGTTCAAGGCGAAGTGAGACTACTTGTACTATATTGGGACCTTATAAAGAACTTGACGATCGCCAATTACCTGTTATAAAAGACGTTATTAAGTGCATTTTATTTACTAAAAGTGAATTAAAACTACAGAAAAACGGAAAAGATCCATCGAACACAGAAGTCTTTTCAATAGTTTCTGGAAAACTTAACACAATTTGGACCAAAGCTTCAATTCCCATCGTTTCTAACGTACGGGTTACTCAACTGCTAACCGCATATTTTAACAAATATTTATCACTAATAAGATATCCTAAAAGTAAGAGAAACGATAGCTATGACAACAAAGTTAAGTGCTTTTTGGAATCGTCAAATAAGCTTTTTGACATCGCTGCTTGTAAGTGCACTTCGTTTGAAAATTGTTCCTGCACTAAACCCAAGAAAGTTCCCATTTCTGAAAGAGATTTTTTACTGGACCAAAGAAATGATAGGAAAATGGCAATAAGCGGCGTAGACGCAAAAGAAACTGCAAGGCTTTTAAAGAAACATCAAAGACAAGAAAATTTGGAAAAAGCGGACAGAGCAAGCATGTTTTCCGAGTACTTCACAAACCGATACTGTACCGGTACGCGTGTTGCCGCCTCGTTCACAGTCGCTTTCAATAGAACCTTCTACTAAAAGTGACTTAAAGGAGTCTCCATCTAATTCATTTAGTCGGAACACTCTGACGCTGCCAACAGTAGCTAAGGTATGTGATCGATACGGACTATCAACGCGTTCGGCGTAGGACTTAGTTGACGTAGGAATGGTATCTTCCGAAGATCTAAACCTTGTGATTGATAAAAATAAGATTCACAGAGCTGTTTCAAAGTCACGTACCCAAGCCAGCAAAGACATCGATAAAATATAAAGAGTATCTACTTCGATGGGCGAAAAGATAAAACTCTCAAGATCAATAAAATAGACAGCCGGTACCACCGAAAAGAAGTCTTAGAAGAACACATTTCAGTTCTTACAGAGCCGGGATCTATTTACTTGGAACATACGACGCCGAGTCGAGGTACTGCGAAAGGGATTGTCACTTCTATTATAGAATTGTTAGAAAATCAAGGATGGAACTTAGAAGAAGTAAGTTGTGTGGGTTGCGATGGCACTCCTACAAATACAGGTTGGAAAGGAGGTGTCATTAAATACCTGGACGACTATTTGAAGAGACCGTTACAATGGTGTGTTTGTATGCTTCACACAAATGAATTACCGCTTCGCCATTTGTTTATGTCTCTAGATGGTAGCACATCTGGGCCGAAAGAATACTCAGGACCTATTGGAAAACCGCTAAATGTTTGTGAAAGTAAACCACTAGTGTCTTTTTGTGCAGTGGCTGGCAATTTGCTCGAATTACCTGATGACATTGTGAAGGAACTAAGTATGGATCAAAAGTATCTGTATGAAATGTGTCATGCTGTGACGACTGGTTCTTGTTCCCCTGAGTTAGCGAGCTGCCAACCTGGAAAAATGGCGCATTCAAGATGGCTAACTACTGCCAATCGCATACTCAGACTTTGTGTAAGTACTGTTTCGCCATCAAATAATTTAAAGCTGCTTGTCAATTATGTGGTCAAAGTTTATGCTCCAGTTTGGTTCCTCATTAAGAAAAACTCATCATTCAAAGATGGAGCCAATCATATTTTTCAAATGGTTACATACTCCCGATTTTTGTCTGATAAGCAAAGATCTATTGTGAATTCAGTGATCGAGAGAAACGCTTTTTTTGCTCACCCTGAAAACTTACTTGTTACCATGCTATTCGACGACAGAGAGCATATTCGAGAGCTTGCAGCTCGCAAAATATTAAAGGCAAGAGAAGCAGAAATAAGCAATACTCGCAGGGTATTTAAAGTACCAAAACTTAACTTCGATGCGCGATATTACATCGATTTGATATTTGGGCAAGAGTGTGAGATATCCGCTCCACCGATTTTGCGACAGATGTCCGACGACGAACTGAGAATTAAGGCTAAAGAACAAAGCTTCGATGTTATTGATTTCCCCTGTCATACACAATCAGTGGAAAGATGTGTAAAGCTAGTGACGGAGGCTTCTCTAAGTGTCACGGACGCTACAGCTCGGGATGGTTTAATCGACTGCACGGATGGCGTAGTGGTTTAAGCGGTCGCCACGCCGCTTCCTACTACGCCGAGCGTTGTGGGTTCAAACCCCACATGGGACGACACTTTGTGTGATCCACAAATTGTTGTTCTGAGTCTGGATGTTCTTTGTGTCCGTTTCATGTATGTTTGTAAAGTCCCCCGCGACACAGGATTTATTCCTAATGCGGGCGTTGTCTATAAAAAAAAAAAAAAAAAAAAAAAAAACAGATTAAAATCTCTATCTCTATAAGTATTTAAACTTTACTGAACATTACCTTATGTCTTTGTAGTACCTATAAATTTGATTAAAACCTTTAAAACATTATTTTTGTATCATTTATAGTTTATGTTCGAAACCTCTAAAAATGGCAAATTTGAAAAACTTCTAGGATCGGTAGAGGCCTAAAGATGATAAATATCTAATTAAATTTTGTTATATTTGTAATCTCCCTCTTGCGTAGCCGTCGCTTTAAAAAAAAATCCCATACATTGACGGGACACCCTAATGTCCAGTCAATACATTAAAGATACAAGAGAATTACAAAGTGAGATTGACCATCTTAAAGAACAACTTAGTAACATTACCTATAAATATGAAATATCCCAAAAGCAGAGCAGGGAGCAGGTGCTGGCTATTGGCAGGCTGGTTAACTCCTGTAAATGTAAAGATTCAGTGTATTCTATAGACAGCCCCAGGACAGCACATGTTCCTTCCTCGCTGCCACCACAACCAGAACTTTTGTACCTGAAATCAAGGACTCCCATTTACAAACAAACAAATTGCACAAAAATAATAACATAGCAATGTTTAGTGATGAAATTGGAAAGGGCATGGGTCCCTTAATGTTAAATACACAGTTGGGACATTCATTCAGCAATTATTGCATGCCTCACTCATCTTTTAATGATATTATGGAAAAAGTTTTAAATTCCAAATCAGACCACAGTGTAAATACTTCATTGGTAATTTTTGTTGGTAACAGGGGAAATGTAAACAAAAAGAAATAAAA